AATAAAATAACATATTTGTGGATATGAAATATGCCAATATGTACCTACCTCCACACATAACAAACCTGAAGCAAGACAGGAGAGGATTTTTTTCAAAGATAAATAAACACGAGAGACAGACAGACAGACAGAAAAATGGGAAGAAAGAATAAAGGAGGAAGCATTAAAAATATAGCAAGGAGCGGGGGGAGAAGATTCTTTTTGTATCACTTTTCTTTGCCAAACCATAAACACAAGGACACTCAGCAGTTCATTCTTACTCAATGTTTCCACATTCTTCTGCTGGTTTCCATAGGTGGGGCAAAAATGACAAAGGACCGAGCCAAGTTTTCCATTGGCCCTGATATTAATATGGAAGTGCTTCTCCAGTATATGAGATATCTTATTTTTGCTTTACCTTGTGGTTTGTATCTGAGCTTCCAACTTGGTATTTTTACACTTGTTTCCTCTGTAGAAAGAGAAAATTCTGAAGTCCACAGTATATCTCTTGTTTGCTTTGACCAGAACTGCTGGGAGTGATAGGTAACATGACATACGGTGGCTGAGGTCTGTGTGTACTGAGAATTATTGAGGGTAGCGGGCCCTCAGAGAGCTGGCTCTGTGGCCCACTTTGTTTTAATTCCAAACTGAAGAGGTCAAACACCATCAGGGAACCAGGAAACCCAGCAAAACTCTGCCTCATGGCCATTGCATATGCCTATGCTGGAACCAGAGGTTTTATGGAAAAAGGATAGACCAAGAATAGTTTTTTCCCATTGAGCATTAGCAATCCCAAGAGTTTAAAAATTATGAGTCAAGCCTCATGTAATCACTAGGGTGATTTAAAAAGGAAAATATTTCAAAATATTACCTATTAAAATCTTCTTGTTTGCCTCTTAGATTTTGAACCTTCTATAGCTCTTGTTTTCAGCAGTCAGAAACATTTGTTAAAGAAAGCAAATATGTAAAAGACAAAAAAAAAAAAAAAAGAAGGCAGCAGTCACAGGATTCCAGACGCCAGATTTTTTAAGAAAAACTTCAACTATGGGCAACATGGTTTGCATAATATTGCAAGATGTGGCAATACTTTGAGCATTCTCTGAGAGTTATTGCTTTTCTTGATGAACGCCATCACTGAGCCATCGCTCTTTTTATCACAAGTTAAAGAGCAAAGAAGAAAAGTCTAAACAAATCTTACCTTCGTGCCATTCAGTTAGTAGTGTCTAATCACATGATATAAAATCCTGAAAGCTCACAGAAATTTGTCTGTCAAAAGAAAGCTTTAAAATATCTGATCAACTACTTCCTTTTAGATAATGGTTTAGGTAACGATGAACCTAATCCCACAGACTTGAGAGAAAACTGGAGACAGGAGAGACACAAGAAAGGGCCCTGAGTCCTTTGTATCTGGTATGCATAGTTTACAGCTTTAACTGTCACCACTTATCCATCAAAGGGCTCTGATTTTAACATAACACAAAGAACACCGTGTTAGCCACTTACGGGAACAAGTAATTGTGCAACTATGTTACTTTTAATTAATACACCGTACCAAAGCTTGAGTTGCAGTAAATATTGCATCATTCTTGTTTCCATACAGGGAATGCTCTGCCCTGATCCCGAGGTCAGCAGCAAGTTGTTCGGTGACTTGAATGGTGCAGGGTCAGGTCTCAAGTGAACACAGGATTCAGCTGCTTACTTCTGGGTTTTCAGCAACTTGATATTGCCATGTACATAGTCCAGGAAAGGCCACGTGTGGGGATGTGATATTACAACAGCTGGAAAGAGCAGGGGAAGTCACTTTTTTAACACTCTTGCTGAAAAAAAAATCTGTTTATCTACATTTTCCCCCCAAGGTGTGCCACTGGGGAGTTTAATGACAAACAAAACCAAAAGGAAGTCTTAAGCAATACTGCAAATATTACAAATGCTATTTATGAAGTTTCTCACTTGGACATGTGAGGCTAGGGTTTTAGCCTGCAGAATATTTTTGTTTCCAGAGACATGAAACAGTGGCTCTCTGTAAAGAAAAATAGTTACTTGCACAAAATCTATTAGTTCTGTATCAATATTTTGTTCAATAATTTCCTCACATAATTCACCTTATTTCACTCGATCCCATACAATTGTTCAAACCACACAAACTCTAAAGAAATAAGCAATGGAATATTTAAAAGGTGAGGGGAGAAGGGTGGCTCACCAAAATATCACTACTATATCCTGGCAATAAACAATGTTTGCAGTTAGCATTTAATTCATTCAATTAACTGCATGCAACATATTAACTACACATAATTCAATTCATTGGCCATCTAGTCTCCAGAGTCTCTTGATTACTTAAAACCAGAGATCTTTGGGATTACTGTTTCACTCTATGCAGTGGCTATAAAGATAGTATGAACTAGATCCAGTACTGGTGTTAGGTGACGAAAATATTGAAATAGTTTATATTTTTAAAAAATCATGACAAGCAAATTGACAGGGATATAGCTCCCTACCACAGAGCTAATGGAAGAATGATGCAGTCAAGGGTGTTTCTATGAGCTTGTCCTTGAAACTCTCTTCTCTGGGAAAGGCAAACCCTAGCTTCCAGTTTGTATCCAAAGGACTGCTTATACATACCCAGTGGATGTTACTGTAAAGCACAAGAGTCTTGGACACCCATGATAAGTCTGTTCAAGCCTTCAGCCAGAGGAGTCGTCCTCAGACTCTGTGTTGCTCAGTATGCAATGGGAAGAACATTGTTTCCTTCCTGCACCTTGCTTTCAAACAACCTATACACAATGGCAAGTCCTTGGAAGTAGGAAATTGGGATTTAAAAACCCTTGGAAAAGAGCAAATTTATTGGGCCTCTGCTTTAATGACTAGGTTGCCTTCATCAGCCCCTTTTTATAAGGGACGCAGTTCTGTTAGACATGTTAGATGCTCCCAGTGGTAGAGCCCCCGCCTCATTTGGCCAAACTGGGGCTGCCAGATTGAAACTGAGGAATGTTTCATTTCCAGATTCCCATCAAGCTGAGAAATGAGACACTTTTAAGGTAGGAAAGTAAGGTTTCTGTAGAGTTCAGGATCTCTGAGAGAGTAGCCTGTAGCAGGGGTATATTTGGATTATACTTTGTGCCTGGTTTTTGCATATTTCATTTATTAGAATTGACCTCATAGGAGTACGACTGTTTTCCTTTGGATCTTAGTTAAACTACTGTGCCTTTTATATTTGTCACTAGTTTATCTGTATTTTTTTATTTATTTGTAGGCAACTGATAGTGATTAGAATGAGAAACTGGTGATTTACATAGAACATTTACATCTTAATCTGAATTTACCTTTGAAATCACATTCCTTTCATTACTTCATGTAAATAAATGACATCCATTAGGATATCTTTAAAATTAATTTAATTTAATGCAGACCTTCATTATTGTCCTTCCAAAATTGCAGATTTTTAAATGCAGAAAATGTTGAATCTTTATCCTGTTCCTGTCTCTCTGAAGGATCTATTTTGTTAAGGAAACTGACTTTCAGTATGACTCTTTGTTATGCTACTTAGTCATTATATTAAACCGACCTCAAAATATTCCTGTGAGGTTGATGTCATTATTACAAATTTTCAAAATATAGGTACCAGAACTTATGGAGTCACACAAGAAGTTTGTAGATTGTGTTGTACTTCTGGAATCAGATTCCATCATTTTCTTAAATATCCTATAATAGCTTTGTAAGGAAAAGATCCCAAATTTGATTATGGTGAGAGACACCATCACTATTGCCATCACTGCCGTTCCACAGATGGGGAAATTCAGGCAGAGATGGTGAGTTTTGGTCAGAACTGGTAGTACCAGAGAAAGCTCCTGGCTGTCGCACCTATGTGCTAATCATGAGATTTTATTTCCACTCTTGAACTCAGAGGTATATAATTGTATTTATCCATTTCTTAAAAAGACATTGGAAGCCTACCTTGTTATGAGTGACAGTTTGAATTAAACTTCTCAACAAGTATTTAAAATGTGATTTCTTCTATGTTTTTCATGGGCCAGTTTTTTCATCTTCTCGTTATGTAAAGTGAAGAAGATCCACAAGTAAGTCCTCTATTTAAACATGCCTTCAGTTTAGGAAGGTATTATCCTTACTTTTCATCCCAGATATTAGTACCTCTAATCAAACTAACACCTGCTTTCTCAGTCAAATATTTCAAGGTCTTTGAGCATAATCTAAAGTGATAGACACAAGGCGTTTGATACACAAATGGAGTAACTTAAAACTTGGGTTTTAAAGTAAAAATTTATATAAAATTAAGCTGATACTATCACTAGACATTGGATCAATTTTATTTATATAACATTATTGTGTTTCTGACAATTTATTGGAAACATCCAATTATGTAGACAGTGGCATCTGTTACAGCTAGAGACTAGAAATAAGGGTTAATTAAAAGTAGGGTATCTGTCTAAATCTGAAATGTCTGTTAGCATGTCATTAACATCTTAAAGGAAAATGGAATGGGAAAAAACCCCAAATTTAAAGCCATTTTTTAATCCAGGTATTATTACTAGTTTGAAGCATGCAAGACAGCCTACATTTTTTAGCTACTTGACTTTAAGCACTTCTAAAAGTCTTGGAGCCAAATAAAAAGTTGGAAGAGTGTGAGGAAAGAAAAACAACCTAGCTGCAGTATTTTTGCCAGTCCTGCTGTTTGGAGACTCCCTTTACCATTTGTATTTAATTTTCCTATCTTAGTACAAACCATCTTTCCAACAGCTCCTGAAAGACAAGACGTGCATCTCCCTTGAGATCACCCTGGCAGGAAATTACCAGAAATTAAGGGCCCAGCCTTGCAAATATTTTGTCACGTGAGTAACATTAGTCAATGGGATACCCATGTGTAAGTGCTGGCTTGATCAGTATCTAAAGTTGGCAACTGCAGGTGTACTCCTTAAATAATTCAGTCTAAACTGCAAGTCTGCATTATACAACACATACATCAGCCGATTTTATTGAAGATGTTTCAACTCATACTAGTTCGAGTTATTTTATCATGCTGGTTTTAATCATTTTCTTGCCTCGACTACTCATCCTCATGTAGCTGTATGTTATGAACACCGAATTGGGCATGACATTGAGATTCTAGTGTAATTCAATCATTACGGAAAAACTGACATTCACATATGTTTACATTTAGCCTCAATAGGAAGACAGTCAGTCACTTTATACCAGGTTACAACAAATATGATTTTAATTATTCCTCTTGTGAAAAATACTTTTCACATGATTACTAACCAAATCACTGCAAAATGCAATTAGTTTTACATGGTTCCTAAGACTTTGTAATCCTTTGATTGTAAAAATACATGTTGTGAATGAACACTTTATTTAAATTGGGGGACAATTTAATATTTTTTAAAAAATCAAATAAAAATGAATACACATCCTAATGAATCTTTCAAACCTTCATACGAAATCACAAACCTCTCCTATCATAAATGAAATGATTGCGATTCAGTAAGATTCATGGTTGATTAATTTCAAGGAACATAGAAGGTTATTCCAAAGTGCTGTTTCCATAATTAAAGTGATGTTAGATCTGCTCTTTCAGTGATGTTTATCTTTGGATGAAGTGATCCGCTTCATAATTTGGATTCCCCAGAATGCAGCGCAGAGGGAAAACAAGACCTACAACACAGAATTTAAAATAAGAAACATTATACAAGATTTTTTAAATTATACTTGTCTGTAAATATAATAAACGGTTGAAAACAGAGAGCTCTCGAGTAGAAAAATCATACAAGAATTCTAGGCGTACTGATAAATTCACTTTAGGAATGTATGCTTTTTTCTGTTACTCTTTATTGTGTACATTCCTGTTTGAATTTGTTCCTTCTGAATGGTACCAAAACAAGATAACTGGCAAAGTCTGCATGACCTTCCCTACTTTGTAATTGAGTTTGGATTTGGAGTACTCAGAGTCATATATAATAAGACAGGACAATAATAACACCAGCTGTGACAGAAGGTAGGTGCAAAAATGTTAACTGTTTTTTTGGCAAATGGTCTGAAGAATGCTGACATTGTAAATTGCATGGTAGGGTACAAATACCCAAAGTAGCCTTAAATAGAATCTATGGCAAAAGAAGTGTTCTAGCTGCAGCACAATAGATCAGCACTTGTTCCCAAAGCTGCTATTTATGATGAGATGTAAACTAGACTAGAAACAACTTAAAGATGTAATACTCTTTATCCTGTCCTTGGCTATGTGCATCTTTTTTTTTTAGTCAGTGAATTTTAATGAGAGACATCTAATAATTTTTTTTCATTAATTTATTTGCTGAAAACTGCTTTGGGATGAATAGGAATACTTGCAGGGTAGAGTCTAATTCAGGTAATAGATTTTTCCAAAAAACAAGGAAGAGAGCAGGATAAAAAGTGTGTGCACATTGTGTGTGTATGTGAAATGTTGTATTTTAAATTTGCTGAAAGAAACCTTTGTCTTTCACACAGAAAAATTTCTCTAACTTAGAAAATTGCAAAATTAAGGCAGTTGTTATGGGTTACTGAAGTAAGTGATATTTTTTACTGTGAGTTAAACAAAACATTCCATTTATACTGAAAGATATTTTGTTCAGGTGATTTTTTTGTTTGTTTGAAGGGACAGAGAAAATTGAAAAGAAAAGGAATTTTGGGGTCAGGTTATAATAATTCTTTTTTCAGGTTAATCTGCAATCAAAAGGTACTGAATAGGAGAGCTTCAATTTTAACATTAACATCATTTAACGTTCAACATTTAACAATGCATGGCCCAAAAATCTACTTCTGTGCTCATCTACACAGTCACTCACCGAAGCACATGAGATCTGAATGTCCAACAGAAATAATAAATGACCATAATACCTAAAAGGTACTCATTTTGCACTCATTGAAGGGAACGTGATGGGATCAGGTCTGATCCCTCTCACAACCTGTTTGGGACAGGTACAGGCTTCACATAATCTATACATTACATACTTAGTAGCACAAGATGGAAATAGCACAATGTATCAGTAAGTAGAATTCTAATCAAATTTAAAAAATCCAATCCTCATTCAACCTCTACCAAGACAAATTCCCTTCAACTATTTTCATTGAAGGCTTTAATTCTACTTGAGCAAGGGTAGGCTATCTACTGTGTTTAAAACTGCTGATGACACTGTTGGTGCTGTATTTGTGGTCCCATTTGTAAAAAAGACTCATAAAATTCTCACCAAAAGGCTTAGTTATAAGAGTTTCAGACCTTTAGGTATACAAGATTTAACTTTTTTTTTTTCCTTGCATTATCACAAACACCTTGTAAAACTGCATAGCTCTATTTTACAGCTAAGGAATGGAAAGACTTTTTAAGCAGCAGGCACATACTCTCTGTGTTTTCTGAGACGCTTTATTTCTATGCTGAGATACCCCCTAGAAGAAAACCAACTACAAATAACTATCTGTATTTCTGATTTGGCTGTTAGGTAATTGGGATGAGTGTGAATAGTGACATACATAAAACGATGACTTACATATAACATGCTCTTACTGCGGAAAAATTCTTTGTCGTGCTATCTCCAGAAACAGATCTTACCCACTTGTCATAATTAGTACTTCTCTGACACGTTACTAAACTCCTTTCATTCCTCACCTCAAAAAGATCACTCCTATTCCTGGAAGATGCATTAAATATAGAAGTATTTCATTTTCAGAAGAAGCACGTTTAAGCACATTTAATGACTGAGGTGCAGGGCATTTGTAGGGGATTAATGACTGCTGGGAGATGATGATCACCTGAAGAAGCACAGCCATGGGCCATTAAGCCCCAGGAAATGTCCTCAGCTAAAGATGGTTATTGCTATTATAGCCCCAAAATGAAAAAAACATCTCGGGTGAATTTTTCTTTTTAAAATGGAGTGATGCAGTTTCTTCTTTCTTAATTAAATTCTTTATTGTGAATTTCTTAAAGCATGCAATCAATGCTTGTGGGGGCGTATTTCAAATTGCAGTTATTACATCCAGAATGAAAAACCACATACTACACATTGTGGATCTGCAGAACTAGTTTGGCTTCATGATTCTATAAAAGCATTGATTCACTGCCTATCAATGTCAGGACTGCCAGTACTCGATGGAAATAACGTATTCATGAAACAATAATGCTGCAAGGTTGTGGGGGACAGGGTTTGAGAAAAACCCAAACATCAGGGAAAAAAATTAAGAGGCCACATCCTCCCTTGCATGACAGCAATTCTGGCTGGCTCTACTGTATAATGCTGACCTACCCTGAGCAGAGCCAGCTGTATGGGGCTACCAAGCAGAAACTTGCTGTGTAGGTTGGAGTTCAGTTTCTTTTGATGGCTGTTACGTATTTTGGAGTTACAAGGCTTGACCCGCTTGAATGAATGGTGCAATCAGGTGACGTCAGAAATGGAAAGCCGAGACCATACGTGCCAGAATTTTGAGCAGACAATAGTGTAGGCAGCAGGAAGCAGCAGAAGAGCATTCCACCAGGCAACCTGAACTTTAGTTGACCGGTATTTTTCTAATGCCCTTGGGAAAACATATTTCCTGAATCCTATGTGCAGATATTTTGTATTTTCTGTTCAACTCTCTCGCACCCTAACAGGTTGGGTTTTGGCTTTGGTTTTGGTTTTTTTTTTCTTTGCTGTTTCTAAATTATTGTCACAGAAATTCTCATTCCTTCTTGTATTGTCCAAATCTACTAATATTTGTCCCTTGATAAAAATATTCACATATCTTTTTCCTAATTCAGCCAGTTTTGAAATAAAATGATGGAATTATATAGTATACTTTTTTCCTATTTTTACACTGAGAAAAGTTCCCTCACAAACAATATTATATAAGAACAATAGTTTCACTTCTGTCTTCAAATGCAGTATTACTGTGGACCAGTGGTCATATATGGAACAGCTAGGCCTAAAAGCAGAATTTCTCACAACCATATATCCAGCAAAGTTAAATGCAAACTTTTTGCCACCTTAATATAAGCACTTGTTACATTTACCTGTTCGAGTAACTACAGATTAATTATAGACTGTGCTTTAGACTGCTGGAAGAGGACAGTCGTCTTCCAAATATTTTCATTACCTCCTTTCATACAGTCTTTCTATTTCCATACAACCGCTATTCTCTCCCTGAATAAGCCTACAGAAATGTAAATAACATTCTTCACAAGAACAAAGATAGCTTAACTAATGGATTGACTGCAGGACTGAATCTGCTTTTCACAGGAAATCCCCACTGGAGTGATCGAAGTTTATTAGGCTGTAAACTACTTTAAAATCATTAGCTAAATTGAGGCACCCACTTCTGCATGATTAGTTTTGTTGTTGATTGCTAATGTTATTTTCTGCCATTTTCTCTTCTGTAATGGCTTTGTATATCTGAGTTGCCTAGACATAGTGTCTTTCCTCTTGCAGATTTCATCTCGATAGAATTAGAAGGCTTTAGACATTGGTCTAGAAATGTAGACAAATGTCCAGGTAGCCCTGCTTTAAGGAGGGGGAAGAGGCTCGAACCACAAGACCTCAGATCCCTTCCAACCTAAATCATTCAATGATTCTCTGATATTTCTCAAATTCTGCCCAGACGCGTTCACTCCAAATTTCACTGCAGAGACAATCTGCAACTGTGCAACAAATTGGCTATATCTGGGGTACAACACCATCTGAACGGGCGTGTTTTTGATACTGAATTCTCTGAGCACCTCTGTACTGGGTAATGTATTCCTAGCTCGAGGGAGGGCTCAGGAAGATCAGTACACCCATGTACTTCATTAGGGTGGCTGTTCACATCATAAAGTGGACCTGGTACTGGCAAATGTGATAAGCAATGAGCCCTCTCAATGTGCTGCTGAGAACTGTTTAACTGATACTGCAAATCAAACATGATTAAGACCCTTTTTATATTCTTTGTCTACAAATCTGGACATGGCTTCTTCAAAGGCACCAGAATTAATTTCATACTATCAATATTAATGATAGGGTAATTTTTAGACTTTATCTGAGAAGGCTGTGTCTGGGTAATGTCATTGTTCTTTTCTAGTAAAGATGGAGATCATGAACTGATATAACAGTTAATAAAAAATGCTAATATTAATAACAAAATGGTTGAATAAACTACTCCAGATTTCACAAGTACCTAAATGGTGCAGTTTTCACTAACACTCCCTACACAGGACTGCTTCAGGTGCTGAACTACACAGAAAATATATGTCTCAGAAATGGGGAAAGAGGTTCACTATTTCTGGAAGTCAGGATTTGGGTAATAAACTCATGGATCTTCATTCTCAGTGCAATGTTTTGAGATAAGCAGTCTGAGGCTAGTAGAGAAATGCCATGGCATTAACAGCAGATCCAGAAATCGCTAATCTTGTACTGTGCACAGATCAAGAAGATTGCACTAGCAAAAAAGTTGCAGTAACAATACCCGGAAAGGGAAACCAAGAAACAAGAGGGTTCCTTTTCTGTGTGATGCCTTCCATATACTTGGAAATATATGGAGAAGGAAGTGGAAAGCTGATTTTTTTTTTTTTTGGTGAAGGAACTGTGGATAGAAGGGAACAAGGACACATACGATAGTAGTGGCTTCACAGCTTTTGTACAAGATTTCTGAAAAGTAGCAGGATGTCTGGAAATTCTCCATAA